CTCCGGAGCAAAGCATCCTAGTTGGGCACCCACCTACAGAATGCTATTGCAGGGTCCCCAGTAAAGGCATGCCAGGCAAGCTTCTCCCAGCAAAGGGAGGCTCCCGCTCCAGTCCACCCTGATATCCCCACATCGAGTCCCACCGTTTCCAGACCGATGCCCGGACTTTGACACAGGGCGTCAGCAAGGCTGCAGATTCGGCTTAGGCTGTGACGTTGCAGACCACGCAGTTAAACTGCATCAGTCATTTTCTGCAATGCTGGCCATGCGGCCAAGAAATACATTTCTTACTTGTTATTTCCATAAATAATTTAAGTGATTATCGGAGCTTATTTAGAGTGACGCTCTCGGGCTGTTTGATTGTGAGCCGTCTTTGAGAGCCCTTTCCAGGGACCACTTCCAGAACCAGCTACTATGTGCTTTGTGATTTTTATCAGATAACAGAGAGAATTTAATGGAAGAAATTGTTAGCTAGGTAAGTCAGGGGAGGTAAATTCAGGAAGCAGCTACCATCCTCAGGGCTAGAACAAAGGGGAGTTAGAATAATTCCAACTCAGAATCCCAGAGGAGGGGACCCTTGGTGCGGAACCCCACACCTCTGCAGGGTCATGCTGCTCAGCGGATAGGCATGTCAGTGAGCTTGCACAAGGGACTCTGTGAGGCTGAGGCTAGGGCAGTCTGCCGAGACCTGGGCTGGACTCTAGCCTCCCATCAGTACAGGAAGAACTCTGGGATCTCTGCTCAGGTCCCTGCCTCAGTAGCTGCTCTGTGTCTTGCTCTGTACAGTCAGCCAAAGGTGTGAGAAATTTGGGGTTCCCTCTCTGAAGCTCCTCCCTCATTCATGTCCCTCCTCCTTAAAGCCCTGTTACCCCAGCTCTACACTCTGAGCTCGTCCTCTCCTGTCCAGCCAGACCTCTTGAGTCTGCCTGCACTACCTCTTTGCACTGTGGCCTGGAGCAGAGGACCAGAGAGGAAACTGTGTGCCTCCATGCCCTAATGCAGCCCTGTCCAGTGCCAGCCTCACTGCACTCTTCGGCTTTCCAGCAGGAAGAAGAACCCTCTATGATTCTTTTGTTCTGCTGCTCAGCATCTGAATGCCCATGGTTGCAGGATTTTGCATCTTGCTGTGCTCCCTGTACACATCATCAAAGCCGATCCTGTGCGCCCCGAAAGCCCCCGCATGAATGATAATTCGTGAGACTTCTCGCTGGAAACCACCTCTCCTTCTGCTCTGGGGTGGACCACGAGGGGGTCTGTAAACACAGAAAAGCCTTCCAGGAGGGGCCTGATGGTGGGCTATTCATAAGAGGCTTCTCCGGCTTGAGCTCCCCTGGGGTAGGGACACCCGCTATTCATGAAATGGATGATCGAATATGCACACATCCACTTTGAGGCATTCATTGGTCTTTGCATGTGTTTGTGCCCAGGTCCTGTGTGTGGCAGAAAGTCACATCCATTCTTGCTGCTTAATCACGACCCAGGTGCCTGGGCTCTCAACACCTGCCCCGGTTCCCTTCCCTAGGAGAAGAATTGACCCCCATCATTTCCCATAATCCTATGGGGCCCCCATCTGTGGCCCACAGTGTTAGCTGGCCCCCTGAGAAGCATACTGAGAAAAAATAACTAACTCTGTTGGGCTGTGGACTTGAGGCAATTTAAAAGACACAGAGCTGATCATCTTCAAAGCCTGCTATGTTTTCCCCACCCAGACACACTCAGACTTTGATGCCCCAGGCTCAGGGCTGGAAAATGAATCCTTTGCTTTAATTCTCAGGGTCATTATGCATACATAATGCTTTCCCTACCATTTAAAAGGAATGTAGATCATATGTAAATGCACCTCTGTGGAACTGTATATCCCAACCTGCATTAAGCACACACGGATTTCACAGTGATATCATTCAGTGCGTACTCCTTCAGTGTCTGCATAAAAAAGCAGACAGATCCTGTCCTGTACATCTGGCTCATCTTTGCCTCGTCAGGCTTTGGACCTCGGGAATGACGGTTCTGTTTGAAGGACTTTTTGATCACCTCTAATGCTTTGGTGCCTTCGGTGATGCTCAGCAAGATTCGCCCTTGAACTCTTCCACTGACAGGGAGCTCACCCACTCTGAGCAGACTACTCTGGTTAGGCTTTGCTGAGCCCTTAAAAAGCATGGAGTTACCAGAAGGCTGTCCCTGCAAGACAGGGTACAGTCTACCACTGTGTTTCCAAATCCTGATTTGTTGCATGAACATTTGTTTCTTTCACATCATTAACCAATCTTTATCTCTCTCTCTCTCTCTCTCTCTCTCTCTCTCTTTCCTCTCAGAAGTATCTACATTCATATGTGTGCATGCCATTACAAAGATGTACATTTTATAGGGCCATCTCACTAAGCAATACATTGTAAACATCTTTGCATTTCCATGGGCCTATATCTTGCTCATTTTAATGTCTCCCTAGTCTTCTATTGTTAGATGGACCATAATTGGCTTAACCATTGCCTGTCCATAGGCAGTTAGATTATTTCCACATTTCTGATGCAGTGGAATATTTGGATGAAATCTTCAAATGGAGCAATTCTTTTCTTTCTTTTAAAGCATGTCTTATTTATTTTTGTGTGCATTAGTGTTTTGCCTGTATGCATGTCTTCGTGAAGATGTTGGGTCCTGGAGTTACAGACAGTTTTGAGCTGTGAGCACTGGGAAATGCACCCCAGGTCCTCTGAAAGAGCCGCCAATGTTCTTTACTGCTGAGCCATCTATCCAGTCCAAGAGCAATTATTTTCTTTTTTTTTTTAATTTTATTTTTCTTTTTAGTTACATTTTGTTAACTCTGTGTCCCAGCTGTATCCCGCTCCCTCATTCCCTCCCCAACCCCACACTCCCTCCCTGGTCTCCTCCCTGCCCCTTTCCAAGTCCACTGATAGGGGAGGACCTCCTCCCCTTGCATTTGACCCTGTTTTATCAGGTATCTTCAGGGCTGGCTGCAAAGTCCTCCTCTGTGGCCTAACAGACTGCTCCTCCCCGCGATTATTTTCTTAAGAGAGAGTCACAGATGGGATCGAGGGGTCAAGAGGTGTGAATACAGAGCTGGAGAGATGGCTTGGCGTTTAAGAGCAGAGGATGCGGGTTCAATTCCCAGCACCCACATGGCAGCTCACAGTTGTCTGTAATTCCAGGATCCAACACTCTCACACAGACATACATGCAGGCAAAACACCAATGTGCATTAAAAAATAGTAAATTATTAAAAAAAAAAAAAAAAGAGGTGTGAAGAGGTTAGAACCCATTCCAGGTAAAGCCAGGGATCCCTGAGTTGACTGGAATCTTAGCACTGAGCATGCACTGAGAGCTTTCCCAGCATTGTCCTCTTTATTCCTTGCTGTTTACCTCCGTTCCCCAAGGATCCTGACTGTCTCTGTTCCACGTGGCCCATTGTAAGGTCAGAGCTCTGCTCTGCTCACCACAAAAAGTGGCCTTCACAGGGCATCTTTCCAGGATAAGGTCCTACCCCAGAAAGCTGGGGTGGAACTGGACTAAGAAAGGCAGCCAGATTCCACTTGTGAGATGGGCACAGCTTGGCCCAGACACAGAGAGGCTTTTTCTCACTCCAGATGTAAACCAACAATATACAAGGGAGCAAGCTGGAGCAGGAGCTGACTCGGTAAATTCTTCTCTCCCTCAGGTGTATCCCCTAACCACACAGCAACGTCCAGCAGCAGAGCTGCCTTTGTCAAGGATGAGGCGCACACAGCCTGTCTGAGAGCCCACATGAATTGCCCACAGTAAGAACCTCTCAACCTGCTTTGCCAGCTATGCCATCGGTCCGCCGACCCTTGCGCTCCGGGACCTCACCCCAACATCCTCAGTAGTCAAAGTAGACAGAACACAAGTGGTTAACTAAGTCCCATCTGTGCATCTAAATACTGTGCCAAGTGTAACAATCACACAAAGCCCAAAATACGTCACTATATCCCGGCACTACAGTGCCCCGTCAACCGTAAGATGCGTATCTTTATGAAGCATTAAGGAACACCTGTGAGTTCGAGGCCAGCCTGATGTGGACAGGGCTCCAGAACAGCTAGGGCTGTTACACAGAGAAACCTTGTCTTCAAAACAAAACAAAAACAAAACAAAACAAAACAAAGCAAAAAAACAACCAAAAGAAAGAAAGGAAGAAGGAAGGAAGAGAGAGAGAGAGAGAGAGAGAGAGAGAGAGAGGGAAGGAAGGAAAAAAGGAAAGAAGGAGGGAGGGAGGGAGGGAGAGAGAAAGGAAGAAAGGAAGAAAGAAGGAAGGAAGGAAGGAAGGAAGGAAGGAAGGAAGGAAAGAAAGAAAGAAAGAAAGAAAGAAGAGAGAAGACAGCCTTTCCATCTGTGTTCCCATTGTTTGGATGAGACGCTGGATTTTCGAGATAATAAAAGGCGAGAAACCTGAAATTCTATGGGTAGAAAACCCAAGTGCAAAGTCGTGTGTTACGGGTTGCCTGTGCCGTGTCAGCGGGTGTTTTCTGTGAGGGGGACGCGGCTACGCGCTTAGCGCTCACCACAGGTAGAGGAAATTTCTGAAAACATGCCCAAGAACCTGATAGCCCGAGCGGCCTCCGGAAGCAAGGCTGGGGACCTGGGATTCGCGCCGGGAGGGAAATCTCCCCGTCCATTTGTCAAATCTGACCTCTTAAATTGCACCTTCCCTTTACCAAACAAAACTGGAAAGAGCAAAACAAAACAGGGCATCCTGGTTTAAGGATTGAAAGGCATAACATTTGGGGCGGGCGGACAAGGTGCCATTTGCACCGGGCTGGGTCTGCCCGAGAGCTCAGTCGGAGGTAACAGGGCTGTTTTGGAGACTTCCCTGCAGTTAGGCGCTCGGGTAGAGCCGCGCCGCTCTGGTCCCGGGCCGAGGGGCGCCCCGCGGTGCAGACCGGGCCAATCAGCGGGCGCGGGGCGGGCGCGGGGGCTTTGCGCGCACCGAGCGCCAAGCCGAGCAGAGGCGCTGCTGCCGTCCGTCCCGGAGCCGGCCATGCCGCGTCTGCTGCTGCCGCTCCTGCTGCTGCTGTCGCTGGCCGGGGGCCTCGGGCTCCGCGAGGCGGGAAGACGACACCCCGAGTGCGGCCCGTGCCGGCTGGATCGCTGCCCTGCGCCCTCGCCTTGCCCAGCGCCCTGGATCGCCGCGCGCGACCAGTGCGGCTGCTGCGCCCGCTGCCTGGGCGCCGAGGGCGCGAGCTGCGGGGGACCGGTGGGCGCTCGCTGCGGCCCTGGCCTGGTGTGTGCGAGCCGCGCCCCGGGGACGGCGCCCGAGGGCACCGGGCTTTGCGTGTGTGCGCAGCGCGGCGCCGTCTGCGGCTCCGACGGCCGCTCCTACTCCAGCATCTGCGCGCTGCGGCTGCGCGCCCGGCACGCACCCCGCGTGCACCCTGGCCATCTGCACAAGGCACGCGATGGCCCCTGCGAGTTCGGTGAGTGGGGTTTGACCCAGAAAGGACCCGGCGGATGGGAAAAACGGTACCCCAATGCTCTAAGGTGTAGGACAAAAAAAAAAAAAAAAAAAAAAATGACTGCACAGAATTGGACAACGCCACCTGGGCCTTAGTTTCCCCTCTACGATCAGTATTTCGCATCTTAGTCCATGTTGGGGGAGACTGGGCTGGAAATCTGCACCCTGCCTGCCGCCTTACCCACTTCTTGAAGACTACAACCCCAGAGCAAAGAGGAGCACAGACTCTTAAGAACCTGCTAGCGCAGTTATTTGAAAATGGGTATTGTAGTGGGCCCAGGACCAGGTGGGTGGGTTGTTTTAATTGGAGAGGAAAGGAAGGTGAGGATTGCCAGAGAGCAGGAGCCCCACATGGGATTCAAGAGGCACCAAGACAGAGCACCAGGATTCAGGGTATCCGATGACACCCAGACTCGGGTCCTCCGGGGCGCTCCATTCCACAATGGGTGACACCTTTGGAAACTTGAGCTCTGAAGAGATTATGGGGCCATTAGCTGCTGATCCAATTTAAAGTGCACGTTATTTGAAGGCTTCTGATTTAAGGAAATGAATATAAAACCATCAGTTGCCAGGGACATCAAAGCTTAACACCACACTGCAAGCCTCCCTGGTGCCCTAACTGATCACTGTCCTGGGTAAAAATTTAAAACTGAAACATCAGTGTCTGTGGATGTCCAGAAAAGCTACCCTACCTTGCCTGTGCGTGCATGGCCAGGAGCTTTCAGAGAACAGTCTATTCTGTCTGAAAAGGACCGTGGGGAACTCGGGGTGGGGGTGTCAGTGTGGGGGTTGGCCAGTCCCAGGGTGCTGCCTTGCAGCCTGTGCTTCAGGCTTCAGAAGATTTCTGGCCTGAGCTTGGGAGAGGAAGCCTAAGCCAAATACCCCAGTTAGTGCTTCGAGAAAGACATCTGGGGGTTCTTTTCCCAGCCCTCCAATAGCACTGGGCATTCTGTAATTCTTCTATCCCTCCAAACAGTCCATGGAAGTGTGCTCAGATCCAGGATTCTGGTGACTTGTTGGCGATGGAACAGGAAGCCCACTGTTCCAGTGGGAAACAATGATGGCGGGCAATCCAGTAAGGGGCTGAAGCAGGCCAGGTTGCACAAAAAAAAAAAAAAAAAAAAAGTCACCATGGCTCTTCCCTAGTCCAGGCTCCAGTGGAGGGCAGCGCTGGCTGGGGGCACTCCTAGGTAGCTCCTGGCTTCTCTGGTGACACTGAGCCAGGTCTTCCTCCCCCCCCCCCCCCCCCCCCCCCCCCCCCCCCCCCCCCC